TACATACTATTTGTGTGTGGTTTCATTAGATGGAAGGATTACAGGAAAAGTTTGTGTCATAATGATTCTTTAAAGTGAAACCACAGATCAAAGTTCATAGCTGCCAAATATACAACTCCCAAAACAAGCTCAAGTGCTCTATTAATCATGGTTGCTGAGGGATTTGATGACAAAGATTAAACTGCTGTAAAGGATACTGCTGTGCATCAAATTCTTGCAACTGTCATCAAATACTCTGCCAACCATTAATAGATCAGGAGAGTTGTCCAGCTTTTGCCATAGATGTTTCTGTTACTACATGTAGAAAGTCCTTGCAATGGTGACAGTTGACAAGCACTTATTAGCCAGAGGTTCAGAACTATTTTATACTGTGGATCATGACTTAGAGAGTACATTATGGATCTCAGCACCTCCCATTTGCAATGACACAGACCATCTCCTTTCCCCCTCATTATCACAAAATATCCCTGTGGCAGCTAGAGCAACTGCTGTCAGGAAACCTAATGTTACAAAGTACATAATGTATACTTCTCTATAAGAGAAGAACCATCAACTCATGACTGAGCAGCTTTGACCCACCTGGCAAGTGCTATGCAGTGGGTCTCCAATTGACCTTAGACTACACTTGCAGTATTGTTAACCCAGAACTAAAATGTAAATGCTGCTGTTGCTTTTTAGGGAAGGCTAAAGCAATGTAACGCAGAAGTGGGGATTATTTCCTGAGGTCCAAATATACCCAGTCTAAAATAGATATCAATTTTTTATCTAGCTCTCAATGAAAGAGAGGCCAATGACACAACATGCTACAAGTTACTAGAGGACCAAACCAAAACCACAGTTCTACATGCTCATCAGAGGCTGGGATGGTTCAGATGTGAGTTCAAATTTTACAGCCAAGTCCAGCAACATAAAAAACTTCTCTACATAATGGACTGATCAAAAATTCTTTATCTAAATAGCTTTCCTTTTAAGGCAGACCTGAAGAAAGGCGGTTTGTGCCCCAAATCTTGTCAAACCTGTCTCCAACTAACAATTGGTCCAATAGATGTCACTGAAAACCTTTTGCCTTGTACATTTCCTGGGCTATTGTGGCTACAATAATACTCCAACACTACTTCATTTTAAGGAAAGTCTGGGGGTACATCTGGAGGTGTTTTTCCACTTCAGACCCATCTTTACTAATAACATCTTAAAAATCAGAAGGATATATTAAATTTTAAAAATTGTGTACATTCAACATTTACCATACACATTTCAGTCTTTCATTTACCAAACAAAAACCATTTCATTTGAAAACCACATCATCAATGAAGGGCCCGTTTCACAGACCACTTCTCTTTCTCTCACCAAAACCCTACTGCTGAACATCTTAAAAGTTTTTTTCCCCTACAGAACATAAGTGGTCAACCAAAGAGTTATTTTATAGTATTTCTGATAATGTATAACTAAAACTATGTTTACTCTTCATTTATACTCAGACTTTCATTTATAGAGTCTTTATTTAACCATGTTTCCACATGCTCCTAACTGAAAAAAAAATCTTTTGGGGCTGAAACTTTCAACTTTACATTTCAGTGCACAGGCAACTTTTTCTTTTTCTCAGAAACGTTCAGGAAATCCATTGATTTTTGTCTGAGTTATATAGTAAAGTGAAAATAAATGGTCTCTTAGAATAACCCCCTCAACACTCATTTTCAGACTTCCCTGGTTTAAATCACCATAAAAATAACTGGATTGTATGGGCGAAAAATCAAGTTTAGCATGTAATTAGTCCTTTCTAGTTAGGGACCGATCTCTAACTAAAGCTTTGGATTAAGATTTTGAAACCACCTCCTCCTCATATTTAAAGGGCCAGATATTAGCACACAACTGTATACCTGAGCATATGGATGCACAAAAAGGTGTATGATTTAGGTTTAGCAAACATGGAACCTTAAAAAGCAAGTAGTGAAATCCCCATTAAAGTCCATTTCAAAACTTACATTGACTACAGAAGTTCTCTCTTCCAACACACATTAAGCTTATCTTGTGTTCATATTATAGCACCTATCTGAAACAATCTCTCTTTGAGAAAGATGGTGATTCTTAGATGTTGTTTTTATGCCTGTCAAGCAGTCTTTGCTTGTTTGTCATTTTGTGGGAGTGTGACATAGGACTGAAATGTGCATGTTACCATGATGCAAGAAAGCTGGAAATGCCATGGTCAGCCAAGTTTATCCTGCAGGGAATGATGATAGAGCGGTTGGTTATATGCATTCTCCTGGACTGGAAGATCTAAAAGCATTTCACAAATATCAGCTATGTGTACTTGCCACAACTGCTCTGTGGAAACCAAAGCACAAATAAATTAAGGCCAACTTTTTCAAGCTTTATAGCATATATAACCAAGTACCTTCAAACTTTAAATGCTTAATTCAACACAGATATCAGAATTTAGGCCTGTGTCTTCCTTGACAAAAGCTACAGAGTGGAATCAGTATCTAAAACAGGATTAGACTGCAAGTAAAATTTCCTTGTAGGTAATTTAGGAGTCTGCATCCCATCTTCCCAAATGTCTCTGTTTACATCTATTTGAAGTTTGATGGAACTTTAATTATGTAAGAGCTTTTAAAAAAAATTAACCTTTTGTTCTCTGAATCACTTTGCCATTCTTAGTAACTGAAGATTATGTTAGCCAGACAAGTAACTTGGTTCAGTTGCAGGAAGCTGGTTCAGGAGAAACTTATCCTCATGTCACTAGGAGCTGAAAAAATACTGAACACCACAGCTGGGAACTTGATCTGATGTCTTTCAGAGCATCAAGAGGCAAATGGGTGGGAGAGTCTGGAACTCTGAACTGTGAAAAGCCTTCAACTGCAGCAGTAAATTTGCATAGGTTTACTTTTGCAAGTCTATGGTCACAAGAAAAGGAGTAGAAACTTATATTCAGATGAAATTCTAAATACTTAACATGAAAGTAATCCAGATCAAGTGGACTCAGGCTTCATGTTGAATTTGCTTTGACGATGCTCCTTGTCTTAGTCCAAATGCTCTTGCAAGGACATAGGGCATTTCTAAAAGTTTTGACTTTTTGGTTGATAGATCCCATTTGTACCAGGGTTCATAAAAACAAGATTATTTTCATAGGTTCTATGTCAGAGATCTACTAAGTGGAACAGAAGATGACTACTTTGAACTATTTTTTCTTTCTTGGCTAATGGATTTTTTTTCCTCAAAGTAGGAGTTTAATAACAATGATTAAAAAAAAAGTATTTAAATGAGATGAATCCTGTTAAGTTTTTATTCCCTAATCAGTCATTGACAACATCAATTAACCCGTTGCTACCACATGATAAAAGAGCATGTCACTTCAGCTTGGCTTGACAACATGTTGAATTACTTGTGTTAACTGATTCATATGAATGAAAATGAAGCAGGATAGGTAGGCTGACTTGGTTCAGTGCAGATTAAATAAGACATATATGCTCTAACTTTTCAGTAAGTATGAAGAAAAGTATTATATCTGATCCTTAACACACAAATTCAGAGCCTCACTGACAAGTCAATATATTTTGTCAGGAGGAAGCCTAAAAATATTAGCAATTTAAGGCTTATGATAACTTATTTAACTGAAATTTATGTTTGGACTCCAAACTAAACCTGAAAAAAATCATGCCATGGAAGTCGGAGACAATATGCAGCACACAATGAAAAAAGTCTTTCAATATATAAGAGAGCTATATATTTATTGCAGTAAAATTATAAAACGATAAATCCTTAAAACCAGTTATTTTGTGGCTTATTTTTTTTTAAAGTTCCTATAAAGAGCAATTGGCTCCTCTACGTTTTTTTTAAAGTATAGTTGGGTTACAAAGCTTTAAGGCTAATCCTAATGATGAAAGACATTTCCACTGCTGAATTGCTCATAGCATAGATTTGCTGGAACTAACCTCAACATAATGAATTTAGAGCTACTCATTGCCCCCTTCCTTCAAACAAGGAGTTAAACTTCTAAAATATTAGGTCACGTCCCACAGATCTTAAGGAGACCATTTTCTTATAACCAGTGAAATACTTCCCCCTCTCTGTATAGCAGGATCTACCCTTACAGTATTCATTTGCAACACTGTATAGTATCGGTAGAAGACTATTGTTCCAATTTGCTATTATTTTAATTTTGTACCCCAAAGTGAGTGTAAGGCTAACACAGAGAAATAGAAAGTAGGGCTACCCTAGACAAAAGTATTTTTTCGGTAGGTTTATTTACCTCCATGCCACTGACTATCAACTCAGTTGTATGTTACTAACTTTGACAAAGCCTTTGCACTTGAGGTCTTACCTCATGCTGATTTATTTGTTAAAGTTGCAGACCAAAATAAAACCCCTTTAATTTTTCAAATGTTATAAAAAGTGTTTAGATACACACTTTAATATAATTTCTGTGGCATTTTTTATAAAATACAGATATATAATTATAGACAAAATGCATATATAGCATTTACTATAATGATAAAAAGCTAGTCTTTGAAATGACACACCAATCACTATTTACAATATTAACTCAACTTTACAAGAAAAAAAATGTTTCAGAAAAATACTGTGAGGTTATATGCTAAAAATAATAGGAAAAAAAAGTGATCAGTAAATTGTACCAATAAATTCGCCAAAAAATTACAATGTAAATATTATCCTCAAGCACATGTGCACCTGTACACACACACATAATCCTGCAGTCTTTAATACAGGACTTGTCCCTGTAGAAGGACTTGCAAGATTTAGTCTACCAGCCCCGTCCACTCAGCCAATATTCTTCGAGGTGACACACGTTATACTGAAAAATATCTTGCTTATCCCTTTAAAACATAAGAGTAAATATAGCATTACAACCATTTCAAGCTTTGTCTAATGGCGAGATTTCAAATGCTTGCCAGAAGTGTGGTATGAAACCATGTTGCAAACGGAAGTCAGTGAAGTTGACCATTTATGCAACCGAAGATGTAATCACTACTGCATTTTAAAGCATTTCACAATTTGTATTTCTTTTGTCATAAAACATTGATGACATGGGAAAGGCTAAATGCAAAATCAGAATCACCAAGTTCCACTGATATCTCCCAGTCCTATGGGAGAGAGAGTACTGGAACACTTCGCACTCTTGAATGTATCCGAACACCACCCTGCAAGGTGGGAAAGTGCTATTTGATTTCACAGACGAGGAACTAAGGCACAGAATGACTGAGTGAATTGCCCAAGATTATGCAGGAAGTCTGGTGAAGCAGGATAGTGAATCCATGTCTCCCAAAACCTATGGTAAAGTTTTAAGCTTCCCAAATTGGAGACTGGAGCTTTGTAGATAGGACTCCCTTTTTACAAATTATATAAAATACCTAGCCCAGCCCCAAATAATGGGGAGGAAGCTGTTTTTCTCCCTTTACTGCAATTCCAGTGAAGATGTAATATAGTTATAAAATGTGTTTCTTAAAAGTTAAACCAGCTAAAATACATTTGCCGGAAAACAGACTGTTGAAAAATGTAACAAGCTACTTTAATTGAAAGCTGAAAGTGAAGAACACTGAACTTAGAGTTTTATTCCTATTTATACTAAACTGCCCATGCACAACCCTTGCCATGAGGGGTGTCCTCAAATGACATTTGTGCCCACTTTAAGGTATCTCTGCATCATTCAGGTAATATGAAAGCCTCAGTGTTAGCAAATATAAAGCTCTCTTCTTTATGTATGAAAATCTTCTCCATGACTTGCAGGTTTAAAAAAAATCTGGTAGGTACATAGGCGAGAATACATCTCCAAATATGCAGCTAAGTAATCGCACAGGTGTAACCAAAGTGAGAATCTTGCCAATGATCTTGCTTTTGACATAGGTGCACTTCGCTGTCATCCAAGAGAACTTTGTCAAGAATGGTTTGGGGTCTGTGTACTTAAAGAAATCAGTTAAAACCAACTACAGGAAGTGAACAACTTAAATTCCATGGAGAAGAGCGTTTGAAAAACAAAGCAGGAGTGACCTAGTGACAGAAAGGACATAGAAAGAAAGAACAATCCCAGAGGGAGGGAAATAGGCAATAAGTGCCATGCTGTGGAATCCCAAGCAAAGCACCATAGAATTTGATTTGTAATCACCCTGTTCCCAATTCTCTGTAGTTACATGGGGCAGCTACTACCAAGTTCTGCTTCCAATAGCAGCTCTGAAACTGAGGGAAGAATTGGGCCACCTGTTTAATTTAGGCTCAAGAATCAGCATCCTTTTTCGGGCCTCTGAAGTGGAAAGAAATTTTTCTCTTAATAAGAAACAGGAGGGGTAAAACTGATAATGGAATTTATCATTCCATTAACTTAAACTGAATGCAAAACGTTTAAAAAAAAATAAGCCTGCATTTGGGGTTGTTTTATATATTACACAAAAAAAAAAAAATTAAAAAAAAATCGATATATAAGAATATTCTATTTTCTTACAAAAGTTTTAAAATAGAGAATTTCTATAGAAAATATTTTAAAGGAAAAAATAGATCAAACCTTTCCCTTGACAGAAATTAATCCCCCCAAAACTGACTCCATGCAGAGGAATGCTGGTATTTCTGTTACTGCTTGTAGTTTACTCTTAGCACCACAATTTGCATCTGCATTTGTTTTTAAATGAGGTTACATTATAAGGCAAAACTAGACTAACCTCAAAAGAATGTCAAACTTGTGACAGGCTAAAAAAAGTATAGCATGAAAAAGAAAGCTATTATTTCAAATTTATTTTGTACCTAATCCATAGCTAAATTTGTATTTTAGACTGGACTCCACATGCTTCACACAGCCAAGTCCAAATGCCTTTCATATCTCTTATAACAGAGAAGAAACATGCAATGTGTCTTTGGTGTACCAGCTCAGCACTGTACAAACATTTTAAGGAAATCTGCTGGTTTTATGGGAAATGTATGTGGCTTTGTTGTGTTGTTTAATTCTTTAAGTGTCATTTTGTTCCTTAAAGGGATAAGAAAGGGGGAGTGGGAAGAAGGAGAGGAAGCCTTGCTTAATTTGTTGCATATGTTCCAATGTGTTATACAACTAAGTGTATTATACTAGAGAAGCAAGTGGACTGTGCTGCAACAAACTCAAGTGTAACTCAAAATAAAGAACAAGTCTGGCCACAACCAAGTCAAAAGATTCAGTGAAACTTCCTCTCATATTATATATACATTTACAAGCTACACTGTGTCCTTTTATATTGCAAAAGAAATACATTGTAGACACCAAACATACTGTACTTTACTTAAAGACTTCATCAAACCATATGTGCAGACACTTGAGATGAGGAGAGTGTTAAACTTCCTAGGGTCCTAGAGTCAAAGAAATTCTGCTGCCCCCCGCTGCTAAGTAAGTGCACTCCTTCCACAGGGGGCAACATCTGCCGATCAGTCATGGTTCCACTTGGTGAAGACCCCAAGAAACTTCCTTGGGAAGAAACAATTTTCTCAGGACTGGCAGCCAGTTTGGGGGATGTGGAAAAGTTATATCCATACAAGGCACAGGGACTGTGGAGTCTAAATGTATTGTAAGAACTTTGGTGGGTTTGATTAGTGGTAAAGGCATTGCTGGATGGGGATGGCATGATGTACTGGAGCTGTGGAGACATCCCTGAAATCTGCATGGATAAGCCAGTTTGTGGGCAGCTGAATGCATCACCGTCATTGCTCGCCATCGACATGTTCACAGTTGTGCTACCTGACACACCAACGTAAGAGGGAGTCCGTGGGGGTGCAAAGGTCTCGCTGGTTTGGTTTGTGAGCCTGTTGTAGGTCTCAGCCAAAGAAGTGCTGTATCTGTTAAGGGTTAAGCCTGAGCGGGCACAAGCTGTATAATCAGCTGGAGCAAGGCTACAGAGCTGGCTAGTGTTGGGACTGATGTGGAAGGCAGGAGAAGAGCAAGGGGACCCTGGTAAGAGGTGAGGGTGGGTAGATGGTACTCCACTGCCAGATCCCTGGAGTAAGGTAGAGGAGCCCGTGTTTCCTGAAAGAGAATATTAAAACATAAATAGTGTACCGCAAAAGGAGAACTTCCTTGATGGTGCTTAAATCACTGACTTACATCCGACTTGCATCTTTCTTTATAAAGCTCTGACACAAGAAAGTTTGATAAGAAAGAGGATGGATGTAACACTGAAATGCTATACAATTGTGAAGAAATACCCCATCTAGTTAAGGCAACCAGCCTGACTGGCACTTTTATCTAAAGCTGATTCAAAAAGGCCCACTGAAGTACCCAGTCTATACAGACGCTGGGGAACTGGGTCAAACTAACACGCTTCCTCTTCCAGTAAAGTGCTATTTCCCCCCTGGTATGTCTGTCAGTGCTCTACATTTCTGGGAGGAACAGGACAGTAGCAAGACTTACTTCTTTATTTTATGTAGTTCTTTATATACATTCCTGTAAATGAAGTGTTGTTTCCATATCACAAGCATCATCAAAATACTACCAGCAGCTCACCCACTGCATCAGGTACAAGCTACAGTGCTCAGCCAATAGCTACAGCTGGGAAAGGATTAGAACACAGGACTCCACCCTTTCAGGTTGCTGAGCAGACACAAGGGCTATCATCTTAGCAGCTGCATGGCATGCACAGCGTCTCCAGGAGTGCTCCTTTTCCAGCAAAGAAAATAGCTTCCCTGCTTAAAACTTTCCCCCTCAAAAATCAGATCCCCCAAATTGGGGTGTAAGTTGTGTGATGGATACGAGAAAAATAAGACTGTACTCTCCAGCTTGTTATGATCAGGAAATTAGTGTTCTTTTTGAAGCATTTACTCATTGAAAGCAGGTGAGGAATAAGCCTAAAAATGGTTGTACCAAGTAGTGCATCCTCTCTCAAGATACCAAAAGCATCCCTGCTGCTAAGGGAGTTTCCTGTTCTCCCTTGCAGGTATCTGAGAAGCAAGCACCTAAAACTAAAAGCCAATGGTACATAGAGAGGGAGGAATCTTATATGCCTGCCCATTCAAGCATCATGTGTGACAATCAAACAGGCCAGAGGCAGCTTTTGCCAATACACTAACAATTTTTCAGGACAGGCATGAACCAGGTCAGTTTAACCAATAGGTCATTTAAGCCACTGAATAAGGCTCCCAGCTCAGTGTGTGGGGATAGGAAGGGGCATATGAGTTCACTGTTTGGTTACTCTACTTTTCCCAAAACAGTGACAGGCTCACTGATGCAAAGCCCAGGCTCTGATGCAAAGCATAACTTGGCTCTCATATCCTTTAATCTGGCCTTAACTATAACCAAATATATAATAAAAAGATACCAGATTTCCAGTTAATTATTTTCTGCCTCCTCATTCTGCTTGCAACCAGGAACTAAAAATCACTCAAAATCCCAACTAAAATTGTGTTTATTTATTTCTCTCTCACGTTCTGAAAGTGTCCCTCAATGTGGAGAAAAGGTGAGAATGCATTTCTAAAGCTGTGAACTCTGAATAAAGGATAAATCATCTGACTCTGCTCTGTAAAAGGAGCTACCCATTTAAGGAGACTGAGAAATAGGAGATCCAAGATTTTGCCCAGCTCCCATTACTCTCACCTGCAAACATCAATAGGAACTTCCACAGCCTCCAAAGCCCCAGAAAAGACAAGCATGAGTGGTCATGTCTTAGAAACAGGAAGTTCATTAATATGAGCTTCCTCATACAAACAACACTGCTGCTTACAGGCATATGGGTAGGCTGATCAGTCCCCTGGGTAGGTTAGCCTGAGAAGCAAACTGCCTTTGGAGTCTTAAATATTCAAGTGTCTATATCATATGGACTTTAAGTTGGGAGCTAACTTTTCATTTCATTCCTTCATGCATGTGAACTCATGTGCACACCACACAGACGTGCACATACACGTGTGCGCACTTCACCAGAATTCAACCAACCTGCTTGAAGTTTCATGTGTGATCTTATGCCAGCGTGGAATTATTCTGGGAAGGCTGAGGTACGTAAAACTGTGTGTTCTGGAGATACGAGGATTTTTAAATGAAACAAAGAAAAATGATCTCACCTCCTGAACATTTTCCTAGGCCTTTTGGTTCTTTGTAATTCAAAATGGCTTGGCACAGAAACTCCAAATTTTTTGTTTAGCAATGGCAAAAACTGGTAGCTATGACCAATTTTTTTTAAGGAAGAGGAAACTAGTTATTAAAAGTGGTTTCTACATGCATTATGCACTCTAAAGATTTAACTCCTCATGATCTTGATGACACTGCCACAAAGAGGTAATGGTGGGAAAACTACCATAAAGCAAGCAGATAGATATATATGTGTGTGTGTGTGTGGGGGGGGGGGGGGGGAGTGAGAAGAATGTGCATGGAAGATCTAGATTTGTTTTGGAAGGGGACAAGAGACACACACGCACACAAAGTTTGGGCACAAGAAATGACCCAGAGACGGCTTCCCCTATCCCAAAGTTCCATACTGTATCCCCTCCACCACCTCGTGCTCCTTATAATAGGAAAAATGGGACAGACAGAGTTATAAATGAGTGATGCAGCTTGGAGAAAAGAAAGAGGAAAAAGCCACATAGGAAGAAGCAGTCTCCACCTCTTTGCAAGTTCTAGGGAGCCAGCAACCTCCACAGAGACTCCTTGCTCAGAGATTTGTATGTTTTTAAAAGTCTAAGGACTTTCTTGGAGAGGATGCTAAAGTTAAGACTGCCAATATTTAAGACATCCCCACACGCTTTTTTTTTTTTTAATTAAAAATCACCCCCCCCCCAGGAAACAGTTTAGGAATGCACACTGAAAGTCACCTATAAAGTAATTCTGTTTTACATCTCCATCCCCAAAGTAGAAAAAGTGTGAGACTATTCATTAGGCCTCTGAGAAGTGGCTAGTATTCGCTCTGGATTCAGTGATTTGAATCACTGTCCCGAATTGATTCAGCCGAATCCAATTCAGAGCTTCAGCCACCACTGAATCAGCCAAATCTCCAAATCAGACAGGCCCCATCCCCTGCCTGCTCTCCCGGGGAGGGGGGGGGGGGGGGGGGTGCTTCCCCTGCACTGGGGGGGGGGTTTTGCCAAAAGCACCCCACCCCCCGTCCACTCTCCCAGCCCTTCCATTGGCTTCCCTGCCTGCCCCCAGCACACCAGCTCTTCCCCCCCACCCCCAAAAAAAGGCAGGGGGCGATCCCCCCAGAGATCCTGATGGCCACTGCAGCAGCCAGTGAGTGCAGGGCTGGGGGGGGTGGGGTTTGTTTGTTCGGTTGGTTTTTTTCATAAAGAAGTGGGGCTGGGCAGGGCAGTCATTAATGGGACTGGGGCTAGTGGCAGAGCCCCCTACACAGTGGGGAGCCCTGGGGATGCCCCCCATACACACACACACACACACACACACACCTGGCAGCAGCCAGTGAGTGGTTTTTTTTTTTTTTTTGTTTTGTTTTGTTTTTTTTTAAAGAGCCAGCAGGGACTGCCCAAATCTCTGAAGCTCTCTGAATTGATTCGGAAAGCTATGAATCAATTCGGACCTTTTTAATGGTCTTGTGATCAGATCTGGATTTGGAGATTCGGCTGCAGAATTGGGCTGAATCTCCTCTAAATCGAATCAGTACCTGAAGCTTCGCACAGCCCTACTATTCATATTCTGTCTTTAAATAACTTGTAGCTTGAGCCACAATCAAGTAAAAATATCAAAGGTCTGCTTAAGCCTATCAGGCTAGCCCAGTTCAAAACATGCTATTTTCTAGAGGCAATAGCACACAAGGGTGCTGTGTGGCTAGCATCACATTGACTGGCATGGACTCCCACACCCACAGGACCATATATTCTTTTACAGCTGGCTTGACCAAGGCCATCCTTTGTTACATGTCCAGAGCTGACCTTAATAGCATTAGTGTTGACAAAAGCTAAGAATTGATGTATCTGGATTACAGTACTCTTTCAGAAAAACTAAATGTATACTGAAGCTGCATTTAAATACAGCTTCAGTACCCTCCTCTGTACTTTATTATTACTAGAAGGCCCTCTTGCCTGTTTTTTAATTAATGCCCTTTTATGTCACTGAAGTTTGCTTTCTTCATTTTTTCTTGAGAAGGGGCCATATCCTAGGAAATTCTGCAAACATAGGGAACTTCAAATGCTGTGTTGTGATATGGCAAGATACATTACTACAAACCTATATGGGCTGGGCTGAGACTAGTATGTTGCAAAACGGGTCAGAGCAGATTCAAATTTAAATTTCAAAATCATTTTCACAGTCACTCTTATGCAAAATAAAAGCCACATACAACAGAAATTGACACAACATAGTTATCCATAAATTCCATATTCCTATCAAAACCCTGTTTACAGAAAACCTTCGCTAGAGTGTCTCTGCAAGCAGGGTATAACAGGACCACAAGAGGTAGTGCAGAAAAGGGTTAAATTAAAAGTAATGTGGGTGATCCTAGTCATTCACTTTGCCCTTCCACTTTACTTTTCAATGTAACCTTTATTTTGAATTTCCTGTCTAATATTTCAGGGGTAGGCATTTCTTGCCCTAGTTTGAGAAACACAGGGCGCATCTACACGTCCCTACAGTGCTTTTATTAATGCACTGTCATTTAGTACTTTGGCAAGTACTAAATGACAGCACAGTAACAGCTTGTACTGTGCTGTGCACACTGCGCACAGATATTTTTAGCTGCTACATAACCGTAGCAATGCGCTATGAGGGAGCACGTTGCTACGACAACATAGCTGTGGCATCACAGTTTGTGACCGCTGATGCTACTTCGTTGTAGTACGTTGTTACGGCAACATAGCTTCACGTGTAGATGTGCCCACGGTGTTCTTATTACAACTTCAGCTCCAGATTAGTGAAAGGTTTTTTGCTTAATGGTAGATCGTAGTCTAGATTGATAGATTTTGTATTTTTAATGGTGGAGGAAAAATATGTATTGGAAGTTGTTCAAACCACAATGCAAAACTATCAATAATAAATATATATTATATATGGATATGGTATAGATCATATATAGTGTACACAGTTTTATATAAAATGTGTGCACAGTTGTGCATATCTGATCTATATTCATATATCCATATACACATACAATTTCTTTTTTATGGCTGACAGTGACTTTATTGAATTATTCTGCACTGGACATTGTAAGCTTCAGTAACAGATCTTACTTGGTCCTATACATTACCAATGTGGTTAAACTAGCAGTGCTACTATACCTGGAAATAAAATATCATCTCTATTATATGTTCAGATTTTTTTTTCCTGTAAGGGTCACTTTTAGGTAAGGAACAGTACTAATTTTATCCTTGAGTTTTCCAGATCACCAAAATAACAAACAAGACTGTTACCTTGTTTTGGTATCCCAGGTATATCTTCAAATGTAAGTGTCCTCAGTGATGGTCTCCAGAATGCATATGACTCAACTAAAGCTTCCAGTCCCATTCTAATCAAAACAAGAAAACCAATGGTGAAGAATCATCTGTATTTTGCTTCTAACTATCTGATAAATTCTCTCAGACACACACATGCAGTCACAAAAAGCAACTTTTCAAGATGCCTATGCCTCTCCATCTCAGCCCCCATCCATGGACTAGCTATGATCAGGAATGAACTTGCTGGTGGTCTGGAGAGAGACCTGGAGTACAGGCTCTCCTCCTCATTTGCAGCTGCCAAGTCAGTTTTTTTAGAAGCTAGAATGGCATTAAGTACTTTTAAAATATGGCTCTTTCAAATAAACATCTTCTCTAAGTTTGACAGAGGGATGAACTGCCATGTCTGACTAGAAGGAAAGTGATCCACAGAACAAATTTCTAATAAGACTGGATTCACAAACACTATTTTTGGCTCCAAAAACTGTCCTTACACAAGGAGTGATGCATGGATGCACTGCTGAGTTGAATGTGCACAGGCAATATTAGATAAGTGTTTTTAGCAATTAACTTTCTTAGTTTTCTCTAAGCTTTTTGTTTCCTTAAAGCTTTTGTAATGAGAAAATAGAAATAAATGACCATCCAGCCATCTTACTAGATCTGCTAAGTAGGATAATTCCTCCCCTTTCTTAAATGATAAATGTTCCTTATTTTTTCTGCCATGAACTTATAAACAAGAGTATTAAGTCAGAGCATTGATATAATTTGCTACTTTTTGTTACAGCACCCATAAGGTCTGTTAAACATCAACATCAAGTGCATACCAAATATGAGTACTTGCCTTTGAGCAGCACAGTTAGTAAAATAGAAATATGCAACTGCTCTGATTTAAGGCTACCAACATTTTCTTCCTATATTACTTTTTTCACACTGCAATTCCAGCAGGATCACAGCAGATATGTTGCAGGAAACAGTTATAAAGTATTTATTAGCTGAACCTGGACTAAAAAATAGCCTTCATTTTCTGCAGTAATGGTGACTTTTCATTTCTAGTTAAAGTAGAGATAAAAGTCACCTCCTGGAGGAGTGCAGCAAAGGCGATAATTTATACAAGATGCCTTCCAACAATTTCCACATTTTATCACCACCCTAATTTATGCTATCAAATGGCTAAGTTTATTTAACAAAACAGTTATGTTTTTCCTGAAGTATTTAAAGAGAAGAAATTTTGGTCCTTTCCTGAATAAAAGTTTTTATAGGGTCAAACTTAAAGCCTAACTGAAGAATGAAGCTATTCTCAGCACATAAATTCTGTTTCACTTTGCAAGCGTACAGAGTGCTTTTACAGGGTGAAGCTACCGACCTCTATAAACCAGGACTATAAATGACCTGAAAGGAAATATTTTTAATTAAACAGAATTACTTTACCTAGCTAGAGAGAGGAAAATTATTACAATGCAATGTACAATTAATGCTGTGCTTATTTGGCCTAAAAGTTTAAAACAATGATAACACAGTATTTTAAGCTTTTGTTATGGATTAATACACCTTGGTAGTAGACATACTACATAAAGTGCTATAAATAATGGAGCCTTTCAAACTAGTCTGGAATGATTTAAAACATTGTGGGAAGATCTGGTGGACAAAGGATTAAAATTGAGCCATATCCCCAAAATGTATTTGATTAGTTCCTTGGTGCATAAGCAGCACAACACTGTTGCTCTCAGGAGAAGAGAGGCCACTGTACATTTTGCAATTGACAATGCTCTAGCACAGCAGTTCTCAGCTTTCTTAGACTCAAGTTGCCCTTTGTTATACTTGAGGCACCCCTCAAAGTGACAGCTCATAGTCCTCACTTATTTTGTGACATGAAAATACTTGAGCCACTCTTCTGTTCCAAAGGACTCTGAAAGACCACAACAGGGCAGAATGTTTTCAACACTGTGAATTCCTATTTGAAATCTCTGGGTTTATTTCATAGACAGAGACAGACATTTTCATAGATTTCATATACATTTCGGCTGGAAGGGACCCCGGAGGATCAGAGTCCAGCCCCCTGCCCCAGGGGCAGGAAGTCAGGAACCATGAATCATGGTTGCACACCTAAGATTGTGTGGCACTCTGCAGTACCCTTGAAAGGATCTCAAGGTATCCCAGGCTGCTGTGGCATCCTAGTTGAGAACTGCAGCTAAAACAGCTATCCCATTAACTTTTGAAATGAAGGAGCTTAGGCTTTTATTTAAGGCTAATACAAAATAAATATATACAGGGAACCTCTTTACTAGAATGATCCTCACATCTCGCTCTATTAAGTTATCACAGTCTCCTTGTTAAAAAAAATTATCTCAATGTCCCT